TGTTCACCCTCCGTGGGGAATCCTGGCTGTGGGGTCTGAATCCCCTTGATCAAACTCACCCACCCGGGGGTCAGTGTCACCCTCCTGGTCCGGGGGAGGTCCTGGGTGGTCCTGGGGGTGCTGGGCCCCCACACTAGATGCTGAGCAGGGCTGGGCACCCCACAGTGCTGGTGGAGAGGATCCCATGGGTGGCCCCCGAGTGTGTCAGCGACCCCGGGAGCCTGGCACTGCCAGCTGACAAGTGGGGCTTCGGAGCCACCCTCTGGGAGATCTTCAGTGGGGGGAACATGCCCCTGAGCCTGCTGGAGCCCCAGAGGGTGAGACTGATCCCGCTGGATCCCAATCTTCCTGCCCCATACTGACCTTCCTGCCCCATCCCGTTCCATCCCAACCCTCCTGCCCCATCCTGACCCTCCTATTCCATCCCAATTGATCCCAACCCTACCACCCCTTCCTACGGTATCCAGACCTTCCTGCCCCAGTCCTCCTGTCCCTTTCTGCTACATCCCAGCCCATCCCATTCCCTGCTACGGATCCCATTCCCCCCCACAAATCCCATAAATCCCATCCCATCCTCATCCCCTGCTATGGATCCCATCCCATCCCACGCCATCCCATATTCCCATCCCATCCCACCCCACCTGTCCTGCCCCATCCTGCTGCACCCTGCCCCATCTCAGAGCTGTTCAGGGGCTCTTTGGGGGTCCCACACCCCCTGACCCCCGTTCCCCACAGAAGCTGGAGTTCTACCAGAGCCAGCAGCAGCTCCCAGCCCCGCGCTGGCCCGAGCTGGCCGCGCTGGTGTCCCAGTGCATGGAGTACGAGCCCCAGCGCCGGCCCTGCTTCCGCGCCCTCATCCGCGACCTCAACAGCCTCATCACCTCTGGTGGGCACGGGGACGGGCTGGGGGGGCACGGGGGGACCCCACAGTGGCCTCACCCCCTCCTCCCCACAGACTACGAGCTGCTGTCGGACCTGTCCCCCGCGGATGTGACGCTCCGGGATGGCTTTTGGGGACACGAGTGCCTGGCCATGAGCCAGGACCCCGAGCAGTTCCAGGAGAGGCACCTCAAGTACATCTCGCTGCTGGGCAAGGTGGGGGCACAGCAGAGACCCCCTCAACCCCAAAATTCAGCCCAGACGTTCTTCCCATCCCGGATTTGGGGTGTGGGACATCCTGGCTGGATCCTGATCATCCTGCACTGTCCTGCTGCCAACCCTTCCTGCCCCATCCCACTCGATCCCAACCCTCCTGTCCCATCCTGTTCTATCCCAACCTTCCTGGGGTTCCCACTTGATCCCAACCCTCCTGTCCCATCCTGACCCTCCTGCCCCATCCTGACCCATCCCAACCTTCCTGGGGTTCCCACCTTGATCCCAACCCTCCTGCCCCATCCCAACCCTTCTGTACCATCCTGACCCTCCTGTCCCATCCTGTTCTATCCCATCCCAGACTTCCTGGTGTTCCCACTTGATCCCAACCCTTCTGCCCCATCCTGTTCTATCCCAACCTTCCTGGGGCTGGGATAGAATCCCAATCCCCTTCAGGCTGTCACCCATTACAGTCTCCTGGCTGTATCAGTTGGGATTAATTAATTATGCAATTAATGGGGTCATTACCAGTAATCAGAGGAAGTTCTTTTGAGCAGTACCAGCTGATGCAGGTGTGAAAAGGCAGCTGGGGGGGATTTTGGGGTGGGGGGGGATGAGGTACTGGGAATGTGGGGGGCACCCCCAACATCCTGCAAAATTCCCAGGGGAATTTCGGGAGCGTGGAGCTGTGCCGCTACGACCCCCTGGGTGACAGCACGGGCGAGCTGGTGGCGGTGAAGAGGCTGCAGCAGGATTCGGCCAAGGAAATTCGGGATTTCGAGCGGGAGATCCAAATCCTGCACTCGCTGCAGCACGACTTCATCGTCAGATACCGGGGTGTCTGCTACAGCCGGGGTGAGCTGGGAATGGGGCAGGAATGGGGCAGGGAATGGGGTAGGGAATGGGGCAGGAATGGGGCTGGGAATGGGGCAGGAATGGGGCTGGGAATGGGGCTAGGAGTGAGGCAGGAATAGACAAGGAAGGGCAGGGAACGGACAGGGAATAGACAGAGAATGGGGCAGGAATAGACAGGGGATGGGACGGGGAACACTGGGAATGGGGCAGGGAATGCACAGAGAATGCACAGGGAATGGGGCTGGGAATGAGCTGTGAATGGGGCAGCAATAGACAGGGAAGGGCAGGGAATGGGGCAGGAATGGGGCAGGGAATGGAGCTGGAAATGAGCTAGGAATGGGGCAGGGATCGGGGCTGGGAATGGGGCAGGGAACACTGGAAATGGAGCAGGGAATGGAGCTGGCAATGGGACAGGAATGGGGCTAGGAATGGGGCAGGAATGGGGCTAGGAATGGGGCAGGAATAGACGGGAAAGGGCAGGGAATGGAGAGGGAATGGGGCTGGGAATGGGCTGTGAATGGGGCAGGAATGGGGCTCTGAATGGAGTAGGAATAGACAGGGAATGGGGCTGTGAATGGGCAGGGAATGCACAGGGAATGGGGCTGTGAATGGGCAGGGAATGCACAGGGAATGGGCAGGGAATGAGGCAGAGAATGCACAGGGAATGGGGCAGGAATGGGGCTCTGAACGGGGCAGGGATCCCCAGTCCCAGCTCCAGCCATCCCGGTGCTGGCTGTGGCCGCAGGGATGCGCGGGCTGCGGCTGGTGATGGAATTCCTGCCCAACGGCTGCCTGCGGGATTTCCTGCAGAAGAACCAGCCCCGCCTGGAGCACAGGACGCTGCTCCTCTACGCCTGGCAGATCTGCAAGGTGGGATCGGGGCAGGAATGGGGGGAAACGGGGGTGCTGCTGTCCTGGGATGGGGTGGAGCAATGCCATGGGTCAGCCACAGGTTGTGGGTCATCCTTGGGTCCTGCCCCTGCCAGCAGCTCTGTCCTGGCCAAAGCAATGCCTGGGTCTCTCAAGGGTCATTGTCCAGCCCTGGGGATGCTGCAGGATCAACCCTCACCCCCGGGGCTGTGCTCCAGCCGGGATGAGCCCCCAGGTACCCTCACCCGGGGGTTCCCCAGCCCTGGGGACGCTGCTGTGTCCCGGCAGGGCATGGAGTACCTGGGGGCGCAGCGCTGCGTGCACCGCGACCTGGCGAGCAGGAACATCCTGGTGGAGAGCGACAGCCACGTCAAGATCGGCGACTTCGGGCTGGCCAAGCTGCTCCCGCAGGACAAGGATTACTACGTGGTGCGGGAGCCCGGCCAGAGCCCCGTTTTCTGGTGAGAGGGGGATGCGGGGAGGGCTGGAATTCTAGCGGGATCCAGGGCTCAGAATCTGCTTTTCTTGGGGCTCAGAACCCGCTTTTCCCAGAGTTCTGGATGCCCTTTTCCCAGAGTTCAGAATCATCTTTACCCAGAGCTCAGAACCCGTTTTTCCCAGAGCTCAGAACCCACTATTTCCAGGGCTCTGGACCTGTTTTTCCTGGGGCTCTGGGCCCATTTTTCCCAGGGCTCTGGACTCATTTTTCCCGGGGCTCAGAATCCCCTTTTTCCAGCGCTCAGAAGCGATTTTTCCTGGAGCTCAAAACCCATTTTTCCCAGGGCTCAGGTTCCCCTTTTCCCAGAGCTCAGAACCCACTTTTCCCAGAGCTCAGAATCCCCTTCTCCCAGCGATCAGAATCCCATTTTTGTGGAGCTCAGAAGCCATTTTTCCCGGGGCTCAGGATCCCCTTTTCCCGGGGCTCTGGACTCATTTTTCCAAGATTCTGACCCTGTTTTTCCTGGCAGGTACGCTCCGGAATCCCTGGCTGACAACATCTTCTCCTGCGCCTCCGACGCCTGGAGCTTCGGGGTGCTCCTCTACGAGCTCTTCACCTACAGCTCCAAGAGCAAGAGCCCCTCAGAGGTGACGTTTTCCCTGGAAAATGGGAGGGGCCATTCCCACTGGGACAAACCCCTCGCACCCCTCCTGGTGCTCCTGGTGTCCCGGTGATCCCAGATGTCCCAGAGCTCCTGGGTGTCCCATTGTCCCCAGATGTCCCAGAGCTCCTGGGTGTCCCAGACTTTTGGGCACGCTGGTGGCTCCCAGGTGTCCCAGTGCTCCTGAGCGTCCCAGAGCTCCTGGGTGTCCCATTGTCCCCAGGTGTCCTGGAGCTCCTGGGTGTCCCAGAGCTTTTGGGCATTCTGATGCTCCCAGGTGTCCTAGTGTTCCCAAGTGTCCCAGAGCTCCTGGGTGTCCTGGATCTCCTAGATGTCCCAGAGATTTTGGGCATCCTGGTGGCTCCCAGGTGTCCCAGTGTTCCCAAGTGTCCCAGTGCTCTCCTGGTTGTCCCGGAGCTCACGGTTGTCCCCCACAGGAATTCCTGCGCATGATGGGCACCGCGAGGCCACCTCAGATCATCTGCCACCTGCTGGAGCTCCTCAAGGACAACCGGCGACTCCCGGCCCCTGCTGGCTGTCCCTTGGAGGTGACACCGCTGTCCTAGGGCTGGTGGGGGGGTCCCCATGGTGTCCCTCCTGCCCTGATGTCCCCGCCGTGTCCCTTGTCCCCCCCAGGTGTACGCGCTGATGATGAGCTGCTGGGCCTTCACCCCTGGCGCCAGACCCACTTTTGGGGAGCTTTCCCCCAAAATCGAGGCGCTGCGGGACGGGCGGAGCAAAACTCGGGGTTGAGACCCCCCCAGAATGGATCCTCAATCCATGGTGATGCTTCCCTGAGTTTTGAGGGGACAGTGAGGGGGGACACAGCCCCCTTTCCCACATCACAACCCTCCTCCCATCCCTTTGGCTTTTCCCCCTTTTTACCTTTACCTCCCCTTCCATGGCAGAATTGGGATTGGAATTGGGATTTATGGGATTTATGGGAATAGGGGATTTATGGGATTTATGGGAATATGGGATTTTTGGGATTTTTGGGATTTATGGGATTTATGGGATTGGCGCCGTGGCAAGAAGGAGGCAGCAGCCGGCGGGGGGGAGTTTATTAGAAAATAAAGTGTTTAATAAAAGAGCAGCTCCTGCTCCCTTCACAGCACAGGGGAGGGCGGCGGGAGGGGGAGCAGGAGACGACGCGGGGACAGCGACAGGGAGGGGACAGGAGGGAGGAGGAGGAGGAAAAGGAGGAGGAGGAGGAGGCGCCCCCTCCCCAGCCCGCCTCCATCCAGTGTTTCCAATTCACACAACCGCGGGAAAAGCCCGGGGGGGGCCCGGGGGGGTCCGGGAGCCTCTCAGGACCCCGCCAGGTAAATCCCTGCGGAGGAAAGGTGGGCACAGAGCAGGGAGGGCACGGCCCCGGCCGGGCACGGGCACTGCCCAGCAACCTGAGCTCGGTGCCAGCACCAGACTGGGGGACCCCAAAGAGCAGGGAAAGGACCCCATGAACCCCATAGAGCAGAAAAGGGACTTCTGAGCACCCCAAATTGCAGGGAAAGGACCCTAAATACCCCAGGGAAAAGACCCTGAGCAACCCAAAGAGCAGGGAAAGAACCCTAAATGCCCCAGGGAAGGGACACCGTGCACCTCAAGGATCAAGAAACAGATCCCATGAACCCCAAAGAGCAGAAAAGGAACCCCTGTGCACCCCAAAAAGCAGGAAAAGGACCCTAAATACCCCATGGAAAAGACCCTGAGCACCCCAAATTGCAGGGAAAAGACCCTAAATACTCCAGGGAAAAGACCCTGAGCACTCCAAAGAGCAGAGAAAGGACCCTAAATACCCCAGGGAAATGCCCCCCATGCACCCCAAGGAAGGGACCCCCTGTCCCCCCAAAACCCAGGGGATGGGGAGAGGACCTCGCACCCCCCAAGGCTGTGGGGAAAGGGCCCCCCATCCCCACCCCCGGCCATACCTGTAGCAAACCTCTTCTTGACCAGCGACATGCGGTACCCGGCGCCCGCCAGCTCCACCTCCACTCCCGACAGGGTGCTGCCCTCGCTGCTGAACTGGGCGGCCACGGGGCTGGGCTTGCTGGGCCCCCCCAGCGGCTCCCAGCTGGCCGAGAGCCGCCCGCAGCCTGGGCAGGGGGACAGTGCAGGGGTTTGGGGGCGTCGGGATGCGGAGCCCCCGCCCCGCGACCCCCGAGCAGGGCGGGCCCGGCCTCACCTCCCTGCCCCGGGGCTCCGGGGATGTCCAGCAGCTTCCAGAGCAGCCGCTTCTCCTCCAGGTTCCTGCCGGGGTAAGGGGGTGTCCTCAAGCCCTCAGAGGCCAAAAATTCAGCCCTTGCTGCTCATCCTCACATCCTGCCTTCCTTACCCCGTCAGCGTCCCCATTTCCCAGTTCAGTGTCCCCATTTCCCAGTTCAGTGTCCCCTTTCCCCAGTCCAGCATCCCCATTTCCCAGTTCAGCGTCCTCATTTCCCAGTCCAGGGTCCCCATTTCTCCCACCCTGGGCACATGCTGACCCCACTCCTGTGCTCCCCATCTTGGGCAAGTGTGGGGCTCCCAGCCCTGTGTCATCCACCGTGTGAAGGTTTGGGATCCCAGATCCTTCATCCCCCACCCTGCTCAGCCTCAGGACCCCAGACCCTTAATCCCCCACCCTGTTCATGGTCAGGACCCCAGACCCTTAATTCCCCACCCTATAAAGGTTTGGGACCCCAGACCCTTCACTTCCCACCCCATTCAGCCTCAGGACCCCAGACTCTCCACCTTCATCCCCCTGTTCATGCTCAGGACCCCAGACCCTTCATCCCCCGCCCTGTGAAGATTTGGGACCCCAGACCCTTCATCCCTGACCCTGTTCATGCTCAGGACCCCAGACCCTTCTTCTCCCAGCCCTTTCAGGCTCAGGACTCCAGACTCTCCACCTCCTCCTTATTCGGCCTCAGGACCCCAGACCCTTCATCCTCCACCCTGTTCATGGTCAGGACCCCAGACCCTTCATCCCCCATCTGTGAAGGTTTGGGACCCCAGACCCATCATTTCCCACCTCGTTCAGCCTCAGGACCCCAGACTCCCCACCTTCATCCCCCTGTTCATGCTCAGGACCCCAGACCCTTCTTCTCCCACCCCTTTCAGGCTCAGGACCCCAGATTCTCCACCTCCTCCTTATTCAGCCTCAGGACCCCAGACCCTTAATTCCCCACCCCATAAAGGTTTGGGACCCCAGACCCTTCATTTCCCACCCCATTCAGCCTCAGGACCCCAGACTCTCCACCTTCATCCCCCTGTTCATGCTCAGGACCCCAGACCCTTCTTCTCCCACCCCTTTCAAGCTCAGGACCCCAGACCCTTCATCCCCCGCCCTGTGAAGGTTTGGGACCCCAGACCCTTCATCCCCGCCCCTGTTCATGCTCAGGACCCCAGACCCTTCATTCCCCACTCCACCACAGCCCATCCCCGCTCTCTCCCCATTCCCCCTCTCCATTACCAGCTGGCGGCGGGCTGCAGCCGCAGGTTGGTCAGGGGCTCCTCCACGGGCAGCAGGACGTGCACGTTGCCCAGGGGCACGGGCAGTGCCAGGGCGGCCGCGTTGTAGCCGTACTCCACGCTGACCCGCGTGGCGCCGGGCGCGCAGTCCCAGCGCACGCAGAGCCGCAGCGGCGCCGAGCCGGGGCCCAGCCGCGAGAACTGCGCCACATCGGGGGGTTCAGGGGGGCGCCCCGACCCTGCCGTGCCCGGGGGGGGGTGCCCCGAGGGGCTCACCTGGTACTTGAGCAGCGCCACGTTGTAGTAGGAGGCGGCCGGGCTCTGCTCCGCCTGCTTCTGCAGGTGTCCGGTCAGCGCTGCCATGTTCAGCCAGAAGTCCTTGGTGCTGGGGTCGCTCTGGGAGGGGTCGCTGGGGGCGTGGGGGGACAGGGGCAGCAAGGTCTGGGTACCCCCAGAAGCTGGCACCCCGGTACCCAGCTCCAAACGATGCCCAGAGCGCTGGGATCCTCAAAAATCAGCCCCCCATCGCTGCATTCTCAGCATGCTCAGACCCCCAAAAATCCCAAAATCTCAACACTCAGCTCCCAATCACTGCATTCTCAGCATGCCCAGACCCCCAGGAATCCCAAAATCTCAATACCCAGCTCCCCATTGCTGCATTCCCAGCATGCCCAGACCCCCAAAAACCCCAAACTCTCAGTACACAGCTCCCCATCACAGCATTCCCAGGACAGTCAGACCCCTGGAACCCCCAAAATCAGCTCCCCATTGCTGCAATCCCAGCATGCCCAGACCCCCAAAAATCCCAAAATCCCAACACCCAGCTCCCCATCGCTGCATTCCCAGGACACTCAGAGCCCTGGAACCCCCAAAACTCTGCTCCCCATCCCTCAGCTCCTGAGGGTATCCCCAGGAAAACAGGGACACTCTGTACCCCAAAACCCACCCCTATCCCTGCATCCATCACCTCCCAAGATCCCTGTATCCCCCAGACACCCCCTGTACCCCAAAACCTGCCCCTATTGCTGCATCCATCACCTCCCAAGCTCCCCGTGTCCCTCCTATACCCCAAAACCTGCCCCTATTGCTACATCCATCACCTCCCAAGCCCCCTGAATCCCCCAGACACCCCCTGTACCCCAAAACCCACCCCTATTGCTACATCTACCATCTCCTCAAGACCCCTGTATCCCCCCCAGACATCCCCTGTACCCCAAAACCCGCCCCCATCACGGCATCCACACTTCCCAAGCTCCCCATTTCTCTCCTGTACCCCCAAACCTGCTCCCATCCCTGCATCCATCACCTCCCAAGGTCCCTAAATCCCCCCGTACCCCAACCCCAGCCCCTCACCACTGCCCCCCGCCCCTCTCAGGCTGTCCCCCCGCTGTGCCCCCGTGCCCCCCGTGCCCACACCTGTAGAGCAGCTCGGCGTTGGGCAGGAACTGCTCGATGGCTCCGGCGTTGAGCAGGCGGAAGCTGAGCACGGGCGGCGCCGCGGGGCCGCCGAACACGCGCACGATGCCGGCGGGGAAGGACATGGTCAGCTCCCCGGTCACCTTCACCAGGCAGCTGCGGGGACACGCCGGGGCTCAGGGGACATCCCACGGGCAGGACACGGCGGCCGGAGGGACCCCCACATTTCCAGCTCCCCCTCAGTTTTGGGGTTCCATGTTCCAGGATCCTCCCCCATGCTCCACGATCCCCCTGCGGTTTTGGAGTCTCCCCCATGTTTTGGGGTCCATGTCCCAGTTTTGGGGTCCATATTCCAGTTTTGGGGTCCCCCTGCAGTTTTGGGGTCGGATACAGCCCAGGGCTTTGGTTGTGACCATGGTGACCCCCAGGTTTTTGGGGTCCCCCCCATGTTTTGGGGTCCATGTTCCAGTTTTGGGGTCCCCTGCGGTTTTGGGGTCTCCCTCAATTTTTGGGGTCTCCCCCCATATTTCCAGCTCCCCCCCAGGTTTTGGGGTCCCTCCTATGTTTTGGCGTCCCTCCTCGCGTTTTTGGGGTGCCCTGATTTAGGTTTGGATACGTCCCCGAGCTCCGAGCAGCGGCTGCACCCCCCACAGCACCCCCCAAAATCCTCTGAACCCCAAAATCCCCGCACAGCACCCCTGGGGACCCCAAAATCAGACTGAACCCCAAAATCCCCGCACAGCACCCCAAATCCTCTGAACCCCCGTACCTGTCGGCATCGCGCCCCTTGAAGTAGGCGTGCACGTACTCGGTGAAGGCGGTGGCCACGGGCAGCGCGTCCTGCGAGCCCAGCACCACGGGGCTGGGGCCGCGGGACAGCCCTGGGGAGGGGGCACCGGGGTCAGCGCGGGGCGGGGACCCCCTGCCCAAAGCCCCCCGGATCCCCCCGGGACGCACCGAGAGCCGGAGGGGCCACGGTGAAGAAGCCGCGCTCGCCCAGGCTGGCGGGGGCCGAGTGCGAGGGGCCGCAGCTCCAGGAGGGCGAGGGGCTCAGCGAGCGCGACTGCGGGGGCGAGGCGGGCTGGGGTGGGTGTGTGCACCCCGAATTCTGCACACCTGCACCCCGAATTCTGCATCCCTGCACCCCGAATTCTGCACACCTGCACTCCGAATTCTGCATCCCTGCACCCCGAATTCTGCACACCTGCACCCCTGAATTCCGCATCCCTGCATCCTCAAACTCCACATCCCTGCACCCCGAATTCCGCATCCCTGTACCCCAAATTCTACATCCCTGCACCCCGAATTCTGCATCTCTGCACCCCGAATTCCACATCCCTGCACCCCAAATTCCGCACACTCGCACCCCTGCACCCCTGAATTCCACATCCCTGCATCCTCAAACTCCACATCCCTGCACCCCGAATTCCATATCCCTGTATCCCCATATCCCCAAATTCCACATCCCTGCCTCCCTGCATCCCCAAATCCCACATCCCTGCATCCCTGTATCCCCAAATTCCACATCTCTGCACCCCCGAATTCCCAAATTCCACATCCCAGCATCTCCGTGCATCCCTGCATTCCCAAAATCCTGTATCCCTGCATCACTCCATCCCCAAATTCCGCATCCCTGCACCCCAAAATTCCACATCCCTGCACCCCGAATTCCACATCCCTGCATCCCTGCAGCCCCGAATTCCGCATCTCTGCACCCCGAATTCCACATCCCTGCATCCCCTTGTACCCCTGCACTCCCAAAATCCTGCATCCCTGCATTCCCACATCCTCTATCCCGAAATTCCCAAATCCTGCAACCCCCACCCCTGAACTCCAAAACTCAATATCCCTGCACCTCACGTCCCTAAATCCTTGTATCCCCAAATTCCCACACTCCCAAATTCCCCCACTCCGAATTCCCACATCCCCGAACTCTTGTATCCCCAAATTCCCACACCCCCAAATCTCCACATCCCCAAAACCCCACATATCAAATTCCCACACCCCAAATTCCCATACCCCTGAATTCCCACATCCTCAAATCTCCAAATCCCCACATCCCCAAATCCCCCCACTCCCAATTCCCACATCCCCGAACTCTTGCATCCCCAAATCCCCACATCCCCAAATCCCCACACCTTCAAATTCCCACATATTAAATTCCCACACATCAAATCCCCACACCCCCAAATTCCCACACCCCCGAACCCCCAAATTCCCACCCCTCCATCCCACCCCCCCCTCCATCACCTCCCCCTTCTCATTCCCATGGATTCTCCTCCCAGTTCCCCCTTCCCCTCGCTGCCATTCCCATACTGGGAGCACTGGCAAGCCGGGCCGTGTCCGACCGCCCCTCCCGGGGGTCCCCTCGCCCCTCCCCAGCCCGGGGGTCCCCACGCCCCCCCAGCCCCGCACCAGGTCGCTGTTGCTGCCCGGCCCGGCCGGCGGCCGCTTGGTGCGGGAGCGGCGCGGGGGGGCCACGAGAGGAACGTCCCGAGGGGCAGCGCTGGGCCAGGGGGGCACCGAATCTGGGGGGGCACGAATGGGGGGGTGAGGGGAGAGCCCTGACACCACAGGACCCCCCCCGAAATCCGGGACCACCTGCCAGGAGTTGAGCAGGGCTCGGTTTTGGGGTGGGGGGCAGACTTGGGGGTGATGAGGGCAGATTTTGACATTATGGGGGCAGATTTAGGTGTTGGGGGGGGCAGGGTTAAGGGTAATGGGGGGCAGAGTTGGGGATTTTGGGGGCACAGTTCAGGGTAATTGGGGAGCAGAGTTTGGGGTCACTCAGGACAGAGTTGGGGGTTATGGACGGCACAGTTTGGGTTAATTGGGGGGCAGAGTTTGGGGTCATGGGGGGCACAGTTCAGGCTAATTGGGGGCAGAGTTTGGGGTCATTCGGGGCAGAGTTTGGGGTCATGGGGGGCACAGTTCAGGCTAACTGGGGGGCAGAATTTGGGGTCATGGGGGGGGCAGAATTTTGGGCCACTTGGGGCAGAGTTGGGGGTTATGGGGGAAACAGTTTGAGGTCATGGGGGAGCAGAGTTTGGGGTCATGGGAGGGTCAGATTTTGGGGTCACTCGGGACAGAATTGGGGCTTATGGGGGGCACAGTTCAGGTTAATTGGGGGCAGAATTTGGGGTCACTCAGGACAGAGTTTGGGGTCACTTGGGTCAGAGTTCGGGGTCACGGGGGCAGATTTAGAGGTAATGATGGGCCAGGGTTAAGGATAATGGGGCAGGGGGCAGAGTTGGGGCTGTGGGAGTCACATTTAGGGGTACCGTGGGGCTGCTCCCCCCCACTCACCCGGCTCCGACTGCAGAGGGGGGGTCCCGGCCGTGCCCCCCTCGCTCAGCCTGGCCCCCGGCCCTTGGCAGCCCCAGGGAGAGGGGCTGGAGGACTCCCCCCCGCTCGGGGGGGCCGGCGAGGAGGAGGACGAGGAGGCCGAGTTGGAGGAAGGCCGCGTCAGGGGGGGCTGCTCCCCGCCGGGGCTGCGGGGTCTGCCCCACACCGGGGGATCCCCAAAAGGGTCCGGCGAGGGCGCTTCTCGTGGGGCGGCGCCGCTGAGGCAGCGGCTGCGAGCCCGGGGCGCGGCCCCCGCGTCCCCCCAGAGCCCCTCGGCGCCGGGGCCGCTGAACACGGCGAAGTTGGGGGGCTCGGGGAGGCGGCCGGAGGGGCTGCGGGGCCGCGGGGCCCAGGCGCTGCTGCTGCTCAAGCCGGGGGGCGGCTCCGCTTTGGGGCCGGGGCTCTGCGGCGTCCCCGGCTGCGGGGTCCAGGGCCGGGAGTCCGGGGAGGGACCGGGAGCGGGGTGGGAGGGCGAGTCCAGCCCCGAGTCCTCCACGTTCTCTGGGGACGAGGAGGAGAAGGGCGACGAGGACGAGGTGAGCACGTAGGAGCGGGGAGCTGCGGGACAGAGCACGGGTCAAAGCGTGGCTCCCACCCTGCCCTGCCAGGGGTTCCAATCCTGCCCCCCCAATCCTCACCTGGAATTCCCTCGTTCCCATCCCGCACCCCCAATCCTCACCTGGGAATTCCTCTGCCTCCAACGCCGACTCCAGGGGGGGACCGAAGAGCGCGGCTGAGGGTGGGGGGTCCTGCGGGGGCTTTCCGGGGCCGCTGGGATAGAGACAGAGTGGGGGGGTGCTCAGAGCCTGCCCAGAACCCCCCAGAAATGGGGGGTGGCCACCCCATGGCACCCCAATCCTTCGCTGTCCCCTACCTGTTCACCTGTGCCATTGGGAGAGCTCTCCCCGTGCTGTCACCTGCAGAGAGAGGAGACACTGCATTGCACCCCACAAGGACCCCTGTGTGCCCCCCCAAATCATCAGGACACCCCTCCCAGTCTCACCTGCTGCCAGTGTCCCCTCGGGGTCTGTGTCACCGCAGGCTGGGGTCAGGGACGCCGTGTGCCCTGCGGGGGGATGTCACCGTGAGGGGACACGGAGCCACGGGGACTCTGGGGTGGCTCAGGAAGGGCGGGGTGTTGTCCCCCAGCAGACAGGGAAGGGGGCTCAGGAAAGGTGGCATTGTCCCCAGGGATTGGGTTTAAGGAAGGGTGGCATTGTCCGCAAGGATTGGGTTTAGGGAAGGGTGGCATTGTCCCCAAAGAAAGGGGTTCAGGAAGGATGGGATGTCCCCAAGGAAGGGGATTAGGAGGATGTGATGTCCTCAAGGATTGGGTTTAGGGAAGGGTGGCATTGTCCCCAAAGAAAGGGGTTCAGGAAGGATGGGATGTCCCCAAGGAAGGGGGCTTAGGAGGATGTGATGTCCCCAAGGACTGGGTTTAAGGGTGGCATTGTCCCTAAGGAAGGGGGTCAGGAATGGTGTGATGTCCCCAAGGATTGGGTTAAAGGAAGGGCGGCATTGTCCCCAAGAAGGGGCTCAGGAATTATGACATGTCCCCAAGGAAGGGGGCTTAGGAGGACGTGATGTCCCCAAGGAAGGGGCTCAGGAAGGATGGGATGTCCTCAAGCAGTGGGGCTTAGGAGGATGAGATGTCCCCAAGGAGGGGGTCAGGAAGGATGAGATGTCCCCAAGCAGTGGCTCTCAGCCTCTGTGCCACCCTCCCAGGCCGCTTACGTGACGCCTGCCTCCTGACGGTGCCCTGCAAGAGAAGGGGACAGGGCTGAGGTGACCCCATGAACTCCGGGGGTCCCCGCAGCCCCCCAGGCTCACCCCAACGCCGGGGGCCAGGATGAGATTGCCCACGGTGGCCTTGAGCTGCTCCACGGCGGCCTCGGCGCTGCCGGGCGCCTCCCGCGGCTGCACCGGCTTGATGTGCACGTAGAACTTGCGCGGCTCGTCCTCGTCGTAGTCGGAGTCGCTGGAGGAGCAGCCGGGGTTCTCCACCTCGCCTGAGCCCATGTCAAGGCAATGCCTGGCTGGAATTCCCCTTGGATCCCCCCAAAACCCCTGCTTGGGGTTCCCCTTGGATCCCCCAAAATGCCTGGTTGGAATTTTCCTTGGATCCCCCAAAAATGCCCGGTCGGAATTCCCTTTGGATCCTCAAAAATGCCCGGTTGGAATTCCTTTTGGATCCCCCAAAAGTGCCCAGTTGGAATTCTCCTTGGATCCTCCAAAATGCCCGGTAGGAATTGTCCTTGGATCCCCCAAAAATCTCTGCTTGGTGTTCCCTTTGGATCCTCAAAAATACCCAGTTGGAATTCCCCTTGAATCCCCAAAAATCCCGGCTTGGGGTTCCCCTTGGATCCCCCCAAAATCCCTCCTTGGGGTTCCCCTTGGATTCCCCAAAAATCCCTGCTTGGGGTTCCCCTTGGATCCCCCAAAATCCCTGCTTGGAATCCCCCTTGGATCCCCCAAAATCCCCCTTTGCCAAGGATACTGCGGGCGCTGTCCAGGCGCACGGTGAATCCGTCCTCGTCCACCTCGGGGCAGCCCTGCAGGGACACAGCCCGACATTCCCAGTGCTCCCAGTTTGGGAATGGCAGTGCCAGGGCGGGGCACTGGGACACTCACCAGGTCGTTATCCGGAGATTCCCTGGGAAATGATGGGGGGAGAGTCAGGGGATGTGGGAATTCAGGGATGTGGGAATTCAGGGATTCAGGGATGTGGGAATTCAGGGATATAGGATGTGGGAATTCAGGGATATAGGGATTCAGGGATGTGGGAATTCAGGGATGTGGGAATTCAGGGATGCAGGGATGTGGGAATTCAGGGATGTAGGGATGGGGGAATTCAAGGATGTGGGAATTCAGGGATATAGGGATTCAGGGATGTGGGAATTCAGGGATGTAAAAATGTGGGAATTCAGGGATATAGGGATTCAAGGATGTGGGAATTCAGGGATACAGGGATTCAGGGATGTGGGACTTCAGGGATGCGGGACTTCAGGGATGCAGGAATGTGAGAATTCAGGCATGTGGGAATTCAGTGATGCAGGAATTCAGGGATGCAGAGATGTGGGAATTCAGGGATGTGGGAATTCAGGGATGCAGGAATTCAGGGATGCAGGAATTCAGGGATGCGGGGATGTGGGAAATCAGGGATGAAACAATGCAGGGACGAAACAATGCAGGGATGAAGGGCTGCAGGGATGTGGAATGTGGGAATGCAGGGATGCAGGAACTCTGGGATGCGGGGATTGAGGCTCTTACACAGCGTCACGCTCCCGCTCCTTACGGCTCAAGCCCGGGATCCGGAACGCTTTGCTCCGGCTCCTTTTGGGTCCTGGGGAAAGCGGGAGCGGGGTGAGGAAGGGCCTCCGCAGCCCCCGGCACTCCCAGCTGGATGCAGACGTACTTGCCTTCCTGCGCTGGAGCCAGGCGGTACTCATCGAAATCCAACGCTCCTGCCATGGAGAACGAGATCAGCTGGGATCAACCCAGGATCAGCCCGAGATCAGCCCAGGATTAGCTGGGATCAACCTGGGATCAGCCAGGGGTTATCAACCCAGGATCAGCCCGAGATCCACCCAGGATCAACCCAGGATCAGTTGGGATCAAACCAGGATCAGCCTGGGATCAGCCCGGGATCAGCCCAGGATTAACCAGGACCAGCTGGGATCAACCCAGAATGAGCTGGGAACAACCGGGGATGAGCTGGGCATCAGCAGAGATCAGCCCAGGATCAATAAAGATCAGCCCGGGACCAACCCAGGATCAGCTGGAATTAACCAGGATCAGCTCGGGATCAACCCAGGATCAGCCAGGGACCAGCCAATATCAACCCAGGATCAGCCTGGGATCAGCCCGGATCAGCCAGGGAGCAGCCGGTATCAACCCAGGATCAGCTCAGCATCAGCCAAGATCAACCCAGGATTAGTCCAGGATCAATCCAGGATCAGCCCAGGATCACCTGGGATCAGCCAGGGATCAACCTGGATCAGCCTGAGATCAACTGGGATCAACCCAGGATCAGCCCAGATCAGTCCAGGATCAGCCTGGACCAACCCGGGATCAACCCAGATCAGCCCAGGATCAATCCAGGATCAGCCCGGGATCATCAGGGACCCATCCCCGCCCAGGTGGGACCCCCAGCTCACCTGGCCGCTCCCTCCCCGTGCCCTTGCTCTCGGCAAACCTCCGCAGCAGCATCTCCGTGCCGATGTTCTCCACGTTCTGCTTGAACTCCTCGTGCACCTGGGGGGGCAAAAACGGAAGGGGACATGGAATAAAGAGGGGGAATGGGAATGGGGAGGGGGTCCACACTCACCTGGGGACTCACCTGGCCGATCTGGACGTGGGTGTCCTCCACGGAGTGCGAGTAGGAGCCGATGAGCCCCTTCATGTGCCGCAGGTGGGCTTCTTCCACCTCCTGGAAGCGCTGGAGCGGGGAAAAACGGGGGTCAGGGATGGGGGGGACATCCCCAGGGATCGGCAGGTGGGCAGGGAAGGGGGTCGGCATGGGTGGGATGTCCCCAGTGGGCAGGGAGGGGGGTCAGCATGGGTGATGGGTGGGATGTCCCCAGGGATCCCACCTCTTCCCAAATCCCACCAATGCCCATCCACACCCAATTTCCATCAGTTCCCATCCCTTTCCCAGTTTCCATCAGTTCTCATCCCTTCCCAGGTCCCAGCAGTGTCCATTCCTGCCCACATGCCCCCAATGCCCCGTCCCTTTCCCAGTTCCCACCAGTTCCCATGCCTCTCCCAGTTCCCATCAATGCCCATCCCTCTCCCAGTTCCCAAGAGTTCCCATCCCTCTCCCAGTTCCCACCAGTTCCCATCCCTTTCCCAGATCCCAGCCATGCCCATCCCTTTCCCAAATCCCATCAATGCCCATCCCTTTCCCAGTTCCCATCCCTCTCCCAGGGGTGCCAGCCGTGCCCACCATGGCCGAGTCCAGCATGCGCTGCTCGAAGTCGGCGCGGGCAGCGTTGTATTTGTCCACCGCCCTCCGCAGAGCCTCGCCCGCCTTCCGCGACTTCAGCTCCGCCTGCGCCACCGCCGGGCACGGGGACAGCCGGGGGACAATGACAGGGACAGCCAGGGATCGTCAGGAATGGGACGGAGACCACCAGGGGGGACAGGGGACACTCAGGGGACAGCCGGGGACAATGACAGGGATCATCAGGAACAGGACAAGGAACAGCCAGGGATAGCCAGGGGACAGCTGGGACAAGGACAGGGATGGTCTGGAAAAGGACAGAGATCACGCAGGGGGGACAGGGGACAACCAGGACAGAGACAAGGATCCTCAGGGAGGGGACAGGGGACAGCCAGGACAATGACAGGGATTGGGATCATCAGTAATGGGACAGAGACCACCAAGGGGGACAGGGGACAGCTGGGACAAGGACAGGGACCATCAGGGAGGGGATAGGAACCTTCTGGAGGGGACAGGAACCTTCTGGAGGGGACAGGGATCACTGTGACACAAAAAGACCATCAAGGGACGGTCAAGAATCGCCAGGGAAGGGACACGGACACTGAGGGAAGTGACAGGAACCACAGGGAGGAGGAAGAAGAACCACCACCAGAGGACAGGAACCACCAAGGACAGGACAAAAACCACCAAGAGGAGCCAGAGATCACCCAGGGGGACACGGGGACACTGAGGGGAAGGGGACACTGGGGGTGGCACCTTGTCGATCTCCTTCTGGCTGGTGCCCTCCTTGCGCAGCCGCTCGTACTCCTGGCACTTGCTGTGGTAGCTCTCCTTGGACTTGGGCAGCAGCTGGGCCACCCCGTGCAGCAGCTGCACGGCCTCCAGCGTCCCTGCCACCTCCTCCTTGGACTGTGGGCACACGGCAGCGTGGGCAGGGCTGCCTGGGGACACCGGGGAGGGGACAACGCCGGGGAGGGGACGGCGGTACCTTCTTGTGCACCCGGCCTTGCTCCTCGCCGTAGCGCGAGATCTCCTTGATGAGGTCGTGCAGCTTCTTCATCAGCTCCAGGTGGCACAGCGCCAGCTTGTCCGAGGAGATGCGGAAAACCTCCCACAGAGGCGCGAAGGTCCTGCCCGGGGGGCCACCACAACGGTCACCAAAGTGTCTCCAAAGCCACCTCGAGGTGTCCCAGACCCCCCCGTACCCCAGCTGGGTCCCGTTCGTGGCCATCTTCGACAGCTTCACCATGGCCTTGGCGTAGTTCTCCTCGATGGCGGCCCTGGGGATGGTGAGGAGGGGGATTTGGGTTTTGGGGACCCCCCATAAAGGGTTCTGGGGAGCCCCCAAAGGTGTCCCCAACCCCGGGTACCTCTCCCGGACAAAGTCAGCGAGCTCCTTGGTGGAGATCTGCCCGTGCTTCATGTTGTGGTAGAGGACATCGAAGCCGTGGTTCTTCTCACCCTGCCAGGGGAGCCCCCTCACTCAGATCCCAAATCCCAAGGGACCCCACACCCCCTTTTCCCTGGGAGCAGCGTCTGGAGTGACCCAAACCCCCCCCAATTGGGGTGCTGAACTCCCCCCCATCCCCACCCCAAACCAGCTCCCCAGGACGGGCTGGGCTGAACCCCAAAAATCCCCGGGGTTATTTTGGGTGCTGCCCCGCACCCACAAAGTGGCTTCACTTCAGTCCCCACCCCCCCCAAACCGCGCTGGGGCTGCAGGTGAACCCCCAGGGGAAACTGAGGCAGGAGGAAGAGGAAGGTGACGAACCAGGAAGCGCCGGCCACGCGACTTCCCCCGCCCCCCCCCGGGCTGGGGACACCCAGGGAGGGGGGGACAGCGATGTCCCCACGGCGGGGAGACCCCCCCAGACCACCCCCCCACACCGCCCACCCGCCAATTAACTAATTAACAGCATTAATGATGGTGCCAAATTAATGAAAATTCACCTCCCCCAAGGGCTGGGGGGTCTTTGAGAGTGGGGGGCACCCACGGAGGGGTGGGGGGCACCCAAAGGTGTAGGGGGGGGGTCCCGGCTTACCCAGAAGTGCTCGGTGAAATAGGACATCTTGGAGGGGGGGCAGCGGCGCGGGGACCCCGCAGCTCAACTCCCGGCGCCCTGGGGGGGGGACACCGGGATTTTACCGGGGGGAGGGCTCCGCGGGGTCGCACCCCCCCGTTTTTATCGGTTTTGCCGGGAAAACGCAGCCCCGTGGTCATGGAAACCGCTGGGTCCCCCCTACACTCCCTATCAGCGACCCCTCCCCAAGGTGTGCGGTACCGGCGGTACCGGGGGGGGCACCGGGGAGGGCACCGGGGAGGGCACCGGGGGGGCCCCGGGGCGGCGCTGGGCCCGACACCAGATACGCAGATCAATAATAAATGAGCGGCTGCTGCGTGCGGCGGCGGCTGCTCCCACACCCGGCCCTGCCCGTGCCCCCCGGGCCTCCCCAAAAACTCCCCTAAAACACCCCCAGGAACCCCCACAGAAAAAGGATCCAAGCACCCCCCCCCCCTAAATTTGCCGTGCTGGGGATCCCCGAGCCCTCCAGCACTCAATGGGGGGACCCCCAGATGTGCCCCCCACCCTTGGCTGTGCCCCCCACCCTTGGCTGTGCCCCCCACCCCGCTCTGTGCCCCCCCCGAGCCCGCTCCCCATCATGCACCGGAGAAAAACAGGAAACCCCAAAAATTCGCGCCCGGTTGGCGCCACCGGGGGAGGCCCCCCCGACTCACGCTGCGCTCTTGGGGGGTTCGCGGGGTCCCCCCGAGCATCCTCGGCGTGCCGGGGGTCTGGTGGGGTTCAAGGGAGGGCCCAGGGCCCCCAAACCCGCTGGGAGCCCCCGCCGCTGCCCGGTCCCTCCGCACCGGTTCCGCCACCTGTGTCACGAGCGGGGCGGGCTCAGCGCGGCCCCCCCGGTAAACGGGGGGGGGGGGGGGGGGGGGAAGCTGGGAGGGGTCTCAGGGGGGGCTCGGGGCCCGCTGGACCCCCCCTATCGCCCCCCCAGCCCCGCCTGTCCCGGGCGGCCGCAAACGCCACGAACGCTCCGCCGGCCAAAGTCCCCGCGGGCACCGAGTCCCCGAGCGGGACGGGGGGTGCGGGATGGGGGGGGATGCGGCACCGGGACCCCCCCCCCATACCCGCGCCCCAAAACCAAAACCGGGCGGGTCGGGACACACCCGCAGCCGTGACCTTCAGTGGGGGGCGCGGGGGTCCCCCCGGAGGATGCGGGGGGACGGGAAGGGGAGGGTCCGGTTCGAGAATGCGGTGGGGGCTGCGCACCCCAAAACCCTCCGGTAACAGGAGGCACCGCGGAGGTTTTTATTTTTGGGGCGTGCACCCCTAAAATGAAAAAGGAGGGAAAGCGGCGAACCGAGCACTGCACCTGCAGCGCGGGGAGGCGGCGGGGGGGCCGCCCGCAGCACCGGGAGCGGGCTCGTGGCCAGCGGGGGCTGCACCGATGCACCGGGGCGTTATTAACGGTGGGCGCCGGTGCAGCGCAGCGGGGCGCGGTGCACAGCGAGGGATGGAGGGGATCCCCGGTACGGCGGGGGCGGCGCGGGGATGCACCGCGCATCCCGGTGAGGGCGATGCTGCGGGGGCGGCGCGGGGGAACCCGCGCGGGAACGGCGGGGCCGGGGGGCAGCGCGGCGGGGGCACTCCGGGACGGGACGGGACCCCCGTGCGGGGCGCGGGGCCGGGGCGCGGTGCCCGCTCCGGGGAGGACGCGGGACTCACCTGCGGGGCCGCCGCCCCCGCCCCGCTCCGCCGCCGCCGCCGCCCCGGGACCGCGCCGGGACCGCGCCGGGGGCGGTGCTGGCCACGCCCCCTCCCGCCAAGTCGCGCCGCCATTGGCCGGCGCGCCCGGCAGCGGTGACCGCAGCCAGCGGCCGCCGCTTCCCATTGGTCGGGGCGCCGCCGCGCCGCGCGCGGGGAGGGGGCTCATTTGCATTTTTAAAGCGGCCGCCGCCCCAAAGCGCGGCGGGAGCGGCGCGGGGGGAGATGCGCGAGCGGAGCCGCCGGTACCGGGGAGCGGCGCTGGAGCTGGAGCTGCCGCCGTCCCCCGGCTGTCACCCAGCCCGAGCTGTCACCCCCCCCCTCCCTCCCGGCACTGCCGCCACCGCGCGCGCTCCCCGCCCCGCCGTTCTGCTCCCGGTGCTGCTCCCGGTGCGGCGGCTCCCCCACGACCCCGGCCGTGTCACCGCACCCGCGGTGCCCGGCTGTCCCCCCCCTACACCCGCCGCCGGTGCCAGCCGGTGCCTCGCACCCCGCTGAGCTCATGGCCCGGCTGTCACCGGCTGTCACCGGCGCAGCTGCGGGAGCGTCCCCGCGGGGCGGGGGGGGGGGGGGGACATTCCCGTATTCCCGTCGGGAATGCACCGCACATCCCGCCGTGAGCGGGAACGCGGCGGCCCCGCGGTGCCACCGGAGCCGGGACGGCGGGGACGTCACGCGGCGGTTTCGGTTACGCCGCCTTTTGTCCCGGCGACACCTGACAGGTGCCACCGCGCCCGGGGGGCAGTGCCAGGCCCAGCCGGTGGCGCCGCGGCAGCGCCGCTGGGCTCGGGGGGCTCAGACCCCTCCCCAGCTCCACGCACCGTCCCCACGTGTCCCCGCAGTGTCCCCCGGAGAAGCCCCCTCTGAGACCCCGCCCCAGAACCCAAAGCCACTGAGGGCAGTCACAGCAGTGGGGGGCTCAGAAGGGGACTGGGGGGACAGGGACAGCCCCGGGGACAAGCCCGGGGGTCACACCTGAACCCCCCCTGAGCCCCCTCCCCAAAAGAGCCCCGCTGGAGCAAAGGGCTGGGAACGACGGGATTTTGGGGAAGGGGAGGTTTGGGATTGGCTGGAAGGGGGTGGGAAGGGGAATTTGGGGTGAGCACGGGGGGCTTTGAGGGGGTTTTGTCCCCTGGTCCTGCCAGCCCCGTGCTGCCCACAGGGCTGAGCACAGGGATCTCCCCACCGCACCGAGGAGGCTCCAAACCCCCCCAAAATCCCCCCAAAATCCGCGGGGGCTGAAGGCAGCGGGTGCAGCCCCCTCTTCCTCCTCCTCCTCCTCCTCCTGCCGCTGCTGGTGGGGCCGGGGGCGGCGGGGCTGGGATGCAGGGATGGGGATGGGGATGGCGTTGTCATGGCAACCCCGCATCCAGCCTCAGCCTCGGCGCTGCCGCACCGCAGCGCATCCACCCCCCCCCCGACCCCTCTGAACCCCCCCCCGACACCCCGGACCCCCCCAAACCCCCCCCCACCACCTGCACCCCCCCACCCCAAACCCCCCCCCCCCCAAAATCCCTTTCCCACCCCAAAACCCTCACAAAGACCGAGCCCAACCCATCCTTTTCCACCCCTTCCCCAAATCCATGGGGACCCCCCCCGCCCCAAAAAAAAAAAAAAAAAAAAATAAAACCCAAAAGACAAAGATCCACTGGGAATGATCCTCTTTAATGCTCATTTTCCACACAATTGCCAAACGGGAAGGTGGCGTGCAAGACGGGGAGTGTGTGCCGGTGGCCACGGGCAGGGGTTGGGGTTTGGGGGGATTGTGGGGGGGGTTAAAACCACCCCAGCCACCCCAAAAAACGCCCCCCCCAGCATCCTCCAACCCTTCCAGCTGAGAAAATAATGATATAAAGCACTAAAGGTGAAACATTCAGTGCCCCCTCCCCGAACACAATCAAAGGTAAAAGCCCCCAAGGGCATTTATTGAGGGTGGGGGGGGGGGGGAGCAAAGATAAATAAACCCCCCCCGAAAGAAAAAAAACAACAACAACAACAAAAAAAAAAGGTTTGGTTTCTTCAGTTTTCACGATTTTTGTCTTTTTTTTCTGTTTTGTTTTATCTTAAAAAGTCATTACAAAAAGAGCCATCGAGGAGCCTCCTACAAAAACAGGTTAGTGTTTGTCCCGGGGGGGGGGAATTTTGGGGTGGGGGTGGGGGTCGTCACATTCTGTCCCCCTCCTTACCCCAAACTCCACCATGACCCCCCTTTGGTGCTCTCAGCTCATAAAACCCCTTAAAAATTGCACGTGACGTTTGGTTCTGAACAGCTTTCTGCAGCTCCCGGGGGTGGGGGTGGATGTGGGGGGGCTGCTTTTCACTCCCCCCCCAAAAAATGAGAGGCTGGGGGGCGCCTTTGTCTATCCCCCACCCCAAAATTTTAGGGGGGGAAGGGTTGGGGAGGGAAGGGCCATCAGTGCAGCGAGCTGGGCAGGTCTCAGCCCAATGGAGGGGATGCTGCATGTGAGGGGTGGGGGGTTACAATCAATTTAGGGGTGTGGGGAGGGGGTCACAGAAGTTTTTTTGGGGGGGGGCACAATGTTTTGGGGTGGGGCAGAACAGCAGGGACAACCCCATAACCCCAAACCCTGCAGGGATGGGAACCCCGAGGTTGTCCCAGCTTTGTGCCCCCCCAAAAAAAAAGGGAGACCCAACCTCTACCCCAACACTTTGAGGGTATTTTGGGGAGGGGGGGGGGGGGGATTGTGGCTCATCCAGGAAAAGGGGGGAAAAAAAACCAACAAAACACCAAAATTTACCCTGTTCCATCGAGCTGCCCGTGAGGGACGGCTCAGCCCCGCTGCTGGGAGGGAGGGGAGGGGGACACATCCTGTCACATCCTTGTGTCCCCATCTGGTCCCTTGTCCCCTCCCCGGGCTGGCTGCAGAGCGTGGGCATGCGGGGATGTCACCCTGGTGTCCCCATCCCCGGTGTCCCCATCCCCGGTGTCCCCATCCCTGGTGTCCCCATCCCTCCCCTCTGGGGGCTCACAGAGGGCTGGGGGGCTCGGGGAGGAGGAAGAGGAGGGGCAGGGGGTGGCACCCGGGCCGTGCCCCCCCTCAGAACTCCACCTTGCAGGCGGGGAAGGTCTCGTCCTGCATGGCCACGGTGCTGTTGCTGCCCAGCACGGTGATGCCCAGCTCCTGCTGCCGCTCGTGCGTCTCCTGGTACCACTCGTGCATCACCAGAGAGTCGAAGGTGGGGATCAAGGTCACCTGAAAGGACACCCAGGCCACCTTGTCACCACCTTCAGGGCTGGGAAGGGGCATCCAGGTTACTTTGTCACTCCTCAGATACCAGGAGGAGCACCCAGGACTCTTTGTCACCCCCCAAATATCGGGAAGGGACCCTCGGGGCACTTTGCCACCCCCCAGCAGTGGAAAGGTGCATCCAGGACACTTTGTCACCCCCAAGATTTTGGGAAGGAACCCCCAGGACACTTTGTCACCCCCTGGCAACGGAAAGGGACCCCCAGGACACCTTGTCAACCCCTAGCAGTGGAAAGGGACCCCCAGGACACTTTGTCATCCCCCAAATATTGGGAAGGGACCCCCAGGATGCTTTGCTACCCCCCAGATATCAGGAAGGGACCCCAGGACATTTTGTCACCCCCCAACAGTGAGAAGGAACCCCCAGGACACTTTGTCACCCCCAGTTATCAGGAAGGGACCCCGAGGACACTTTGTCACGCCCCAGCATTGAGAAGAAACCCTGAGGACACTTTGTCACCCCATCAATATCAGGAAGGGACCCCCCAGGACTTTGTCACCCCCTAAATATGGGAATGGACCTTGAGGACACTTTGTCACCCCCCAGCACTGGGAAGGAACCCCAAGGACACTTTATCACCCCCCAGCACCACAAGGGAGCCAATCCCAGCCCTCCCCTCACCCCAGGCTGGGCACCCACCTGGATGTCGATGCCCCACTGGTGCTTGCCCGCCAGGAGGGCATCGAGCAGCGGGCGCAGCACGCCCTCCTTCAGGTGGTCGTCGCCGCTGACCACGTAGCAGAGCGCGCGGATCCGCCGGAAGAACTCCTCGTCCACCGTGCGGGCGCTCCACGAGCCGGGCAGGTACGCCAGGTCCACGTACACCGGGGGTCCCTGGGGGGCTGCGGCCCTGGTGCCTGCCAGGAGAGTGGGACAGAGTCACAGAGGTCCCCTGCAGTGCCACCCTGCAGTGCCACCCCGCAGTGCCACCCCGCAGCGCCACCCCTCGCTGCCTGCTCATACCTGCTGGCGATGCCCGCCCCGCTGCGGATGCCGGCCGGGCTGTGGCGCCGCGGGCGTTGCTGGAGGCGCCGCTGGATGGTCCCTTCTTGTCCCCAAGGGGCGGCCTGGCCTTGTCACCTGCAGCGCTGGCCGCAGGCCTGGCCTTGTTGGCCGAGGGGACGCGGGGGGGCTCGGCTTTGGGGGCTGAGCCCACGCGGGACGGGGTCCTCTTCACCTTGGTGGGCTCCTTGCGGCCGGGGGGCAGCGCCTCGGGGTCCACCATGCAGATTCCGGGCTGGGCAGGGAGGGGACAGGGGTCCTTCAGGGGGGCTGGCAGAGGGTCGCACGCTCTGGCCACGCCGCGGGGCGGCCGCTCCGAGTCCTCGTCCGACTCCAGCCCGTCGGCCAGGATGGACGGGCAGTCCTCGGTGGCCGCAGGGACGTCGGAGTCGGACAGGGTGGGCAGCGACTCGCTGACCGACGTGGGGGGGGTCTCGCCCGGCCGGCCCCGGGGCGGCGCCAGCTCCTGCGAGGGGTCGCTGTCCGACAGCTCCCGCGGGCTGGCGGCGGCCGACGGCGACCGCTCGGATTTGGGGTGCTCGAACTCGCAGGGGGACACCAGGCACAGGTCCACGTCGTGAGGCGAGTCCGAGCGGCGGCCGGGCCGCGGTGCCGCGTCCCCGTCGGCCCAGGGCGGGTGGTGGCACGGGCGCAGCGGCAGGGACAGCCCTCCTTTGGTGGCTTCGGGCTCCTGCGTGTCCCCAGAGGCGCGGGATCGCCGCCCAT